GCCATTAAAGCGCTGAGTTCTTACGTAATCAGCTCAAAAATGGTATGGAGATGCCTAGAACAATTGAATGAGCTAGGCGAGAAAAATAGAGTTACTCTCACTTGGGTCCCGGGACATAACGGGGTACAGGATAACGAGATTGCAGATAGTCTTGCAAGGAAAGGGGCTCAAACACCCTTTGTAGGACCTGAGCCGTTCTGCGGTATCAGCAGTAACATAATATTAGAAGAGATTAAAAAAGAATTGGGTAGTAGAAGAACCGATAATTGGAACAATCTCTTGGGGCTGAGACAGGCCAAGATACTTCTGGGTGAATATAACCAAAAAAGATCGGAAGCCTGCATCTGCCTGAGCAAGAACAGGCTACGTATTGTAACAGGGATCCTTACCGGGCACTGCCGACTAAAAGGACACCTAAGTAAATTGAGAGTAGTAGAGGATAGTGAGTGCAGATTCTGTGAGGAGGAGGACGAAACCTCCATTCACATCCTAACTGAATGTGTAGCACTCCAGAATCCAAGGGCACTATATCTAGGAGGATATCAAATAGAAGAGGGAGACTTACCTAACTTGACGCCACTTCAAATCCTACACTTCCTTGAGAAAATAGGATTGGAAGGGTCGCTATAGGCATTGAGACATTTCCTTAGTGCAGTGGCGACAGAAGGGGGCACAATAGATCTTTTAGGTCGCAGTGTATTAACACCCCATTATCAACAGAACATAGTTTAGCGAAGAAAGGAGTGCAGTAATTTGATTTGCAGAACGTATTACATGTTCAGGAGGTAGACATTTTATTTATACCACATCCTTCAATGCTTGTTTGTAGTTAAAATGAAAATTGTAATACATCTGATCAGCCTAATAAAAGTTTTCGTTTAGATTTAATCACGTTTCCATGGTTTTTACTGTAATAAATCTTTTCTTTTGACAGATAAGTCAGACTGTATTTATTCATAGCCGTATCGTGTGTATTTTATTTAATTCGGAATTTTGTGTTAATATATATTATAATTTTACAGTAATATCAGAATGGCGAGTGCATTAAGAAAATATTGCAAATACAAGTACACGTAAACGACTTTGTTTTACTTTATGTGGATAAAATAGCCACTAAATGTGAGACCTATACTGGAGTATCTAAGCGAACAGTACATAACATAAGAAGGTAAATGCAGTTATTGGAGAAGTCTCACATCCGAAAAAGCCCCCAAGAATAAACAAGACCTTTATTGAAACTTGGGTAAAGAATGGTTCATTCTTTTTATTTTGAAATGAAATTCTTACACGTAAGAAATTACACTCAGAAACAGAAAATAGTTCCACTCTTCCAAATATATCATATTTACAAAAAATAATGGTTAAATTAAATTTTCGTGAGAAAAAACGTGAGAGAAACAGCTTTTTAACAGAGAAAGACGAAATCATTGCATGGAGACATGAGTATTTAAAGAAAATAGCGGACGCAAAATCAATGCTGGACATCAGTAATAACAATTTTGCAAGATACCTCCGTCAAAACTAAGAAATAAGCCTTTATGGAAGGGGTCTCTTGTGGATTAAAAAATCCAATAGGAAAAGGAAATCGTTTAATAATAACTCACATTGGAAGCACCGATGGCTTTTTCCAGATGGTTTATTAATGGTCAACTCAAAGAAAACAAAAGACTACCAAGAAGAAATGGATGTTTGAAAATTGGTTTCAGAACATTATAAAAAAAATTCCAGCCCAACTCCGTTATTGTTTTGGATAATGCATTCTATCACAGTCGATTAAAGGAGGCACTTCCTACAACAAGATTAAAAAAGAAGATATTTCAAAAGAGCTTCGTTCTAAAAATATTATTAGTCCTCCTAAATACTTGAAGGCAGAATTACTCGTAATAGCAAGGCAACATAAAAACAAATTCAAAAAAGTATTATAGACAAGATGGCCCGAGAAAAAGGAATTGAAATTCTCAGATTGCCTTCTTGCCACACAGAGTTAAATAATGACAATAATATTTTATATATTGCAAGCCCTGTTCTCCAATCCGTGCTCTAATCTATGTTCTAATCCTCCTAGTACCTCACTGCCTTGTTTGGGCTTCTTTGGCCCTTACTTGCCCAATTGTCAAAAATATCTAAAGAAATAAGTCAGCCCTTCGGTGAAATGTCTGTAGCTAGTCGTAATAAATAATTCATAGAATACACTAGAACGATGACGAATTTGATACATGCATGTTCAAAAAATTTTCGTATCGTAGACACCAGTGTAATAAATGGTGGAAGCGTAATCTAGAGCATACACCATTTTATATAAATGGGCTGCGTTTCGGTGGAAGTTAATTCAGTTGAAGTTGATGATAAACATTCGAATTTTTATATAAATTAGAATACAGGGTGTTTCCGAACTTGGCGTCCAAATTTGTAGGGGTGGTGGTTCGAATAATTTGAGAGCGATTGGCAGATTTCATTTTTCCAAAATATTTAAAATAAAATTAATTAAAAATTAATTAAAAATTTTAAACAGGTACGGTCCTGCACAGCGATAGGATCGCCTCGAGCAATAAGCACTAGAAAAACAATCGGCTACGTCTTTCGATACCGGCCGGGCGGAGGGAGAAATTTGCAAATCGCATCTGTTTTTGAGTTGCAAATCCCGATGAGTAACCGATCCGGCAACAATTCGCTACGCGCTCAGGGTAGGACCCGCTTTTTTATTTTTTTGATTTTTTTTATAATGGCTCTATTTTGTTCATTATGCGAACTACCACCCCTACAAATTTGGACGCCAAGTTCGAAAACACCCTGTATAGGTACATGCGAAAGTTGACAAAGAACATCAAAATTAAGAGAGAGATAAATGGCCATACCCATTTAAGGTCCCTCTTAGCAACTCGTTTCCACTCGCGCATTTCCGAAGGCAGAAGTTGTTTCAATATGCAAAGTTGCCGATGCTCCTAGGTTTTCTGATGTTATGTGACATTAGACTTTAAGTCAAATAGACATGTAGATAAATTTTTTAGTTACTACAGATGTTACATACAAATAACGCATAATTAAAACATAAACATAAAATATTAGAATACAAAACCATTTAAAAGTTTATAGTTTACATGTATTAGTGACAATCAATGACACTTTAAAAAACGCGTGAAATATTAATTTTTAATGTGACAACCTTGCTTAGGATGTTGTAAGTGAGGTAACATTTCTGTGACATTCAGGACAATCAGGACCGGTCGTGGAGCTTTGCGTTGTGTGCATTTTTTGACAAAAACATTGTGTATATGCGTCTAGTCTTCTTCTGTAGATAAGTCATTAGTAAAACGAGGAATATACGTCGTGGTGGCTTCTACGGTACGTGTAAGATGTCTTCGAATTCATAGCTGTAAATTTATGTGCACTTTTCTACTGCAACTTCCGTTTTAGGTAGCAGCAATATTTTTATTCATTTGAAAGCTTATGATATTAAATCATTATTTGGAAGTCTAAAAATATCAACCGAATGTTTTTTTATCAGTACATTTATCAGTTGAAATATTTATTTTTTGAAAAATATAGAAAATTACTTACTTTTGTCCCACACCTGGAAATAATTCGTGTAATTTATTTAATACAGCCTTGTCAACATTTTTCTTATGACTACCACTTAAAGTAATTTATTCGTCTTCGTATATTTTACCCAATAACATTCAGCAACAGATATTTCATAAATCACCCAAAAAAAATAGAAGGTAGATATGTATTTTAAGTAATGTCTAATGAGTGCTTTACATCTAATTTTTCATTAATTAATGCATGAAGAATTTGATAGATATAAAACTAAAACCAAATTTAATGAATATTCATGAATAAATGTTCTGTTTTGCATTTTCATCCAATTATACTTTAAAGTTCAGAAGTACCAACCTACCAAACTATTTGTTCAATATTTGTTTTATTAGGTTTTATGGCTACAGGCTAATAGGCTGTATGCAATAAGTATTTAAACCCTAATTATTTACAAAAGTTATATTGGTGTACTTATGTAATGAATATTGCGGGATATTGCTAGCCTTTTACTGTAATTGAAGGGAAAATTAATGCGACGATTAAGAGATAAAAGTCTACGTTTGTCCTTTCGATAGTGGCCCAGCATTATGTTGGTTGATGATGGCCATATGAAGGGTAACTAACTGTATTGGGTAAGAGCGAGGTAAAAGTTAAAAAACTTTTGACTGCCCCAGACCCAACGCCCTCTACAGTCCAGGAGGGTTCCGTCCCGCGTTAATAGATGGAGACACCGATGATCGCTTACTACATACTCAACGAGTGGACATGGGGATAGTTTCGGATTGCTGGTATTCACTATTCATTGTAATTTCTTACTCATACATGTTATTTTAGAATATTGTAATAGTACCTCCATCTTGCGTAAGCGAAAAGTAATTTTTGTAGGGTAATATAAATCTTAAACCATTAATTACCTAAACCATCCCTGGCATCCAAAACGCATGTTTAGAAGAAAGTCATATTTAGAAAGACTGAAAATAATTAAAATTGGCAACACCTATGCCATACCCATTTATAGTCCAAGGTCATAGAAACCTCATTTTAAAATCCTTTGATCTTTTGCCGGGTTTCGCATCTGTTGTGGTTAATCTGTTATTTAAGTATGAATAATAAATAGTGCTAATCCAAGTATTTTATGAGTAAATTATTTAGTATTTAGTGTAAATAAATTATAAATAAACTGTTTTAAATAAAGGAACGTTACATTTATATACTTTATCTTCTCCAACTTCACTGAAATGAAACTTACGAAGTAGATATTAATTAACTCATGACTTAAAAAAAGAGAGAAAACGCTTCATTAATTTAAAAGAGAACTTTTACAAAACGATTCTTCCCATCAAAAATGATAAATAATTGATTAGCACTGATTGCATTGCTTGCGAGGCTAATTGAATCGATGATAAAAAATACGCCGTTACAGAGTTTCTTTCTTGGTGACTTTTATTTATCTTTTGTTTCAGTGCCGATGGCAACTTTGAGGTGACGTTAGCTACGAAAGCCACCTTAAATTACACGGGTCGCGTAGATTGGAAACCCCCAGCCATTTACAAGTCTTCCTGCGAGATCGACGTCGAATATTTTCCCTTCGACGAGCAGACGTGCGTTATGAAGTTCGGATCCTGGACTTACGATGGCTTTCAGGTAAACTTTCCTTTAGGTTTTTCGAGTTTTTCATAATAATTTAATTAATTTAATGGAAATAAATAATATATTGGAATTGTAATATCAGATAATTGATTTTAGATTTGTTCCAACGGCAGTAATGAACCGTTCTGAATTTGTTATTACAATTTAAGTGTTCCAACAAAAATCCGATACATTTATAATTTTAAATACGTTGTTCTAACTGAAAATTAAATTAATAATAACTCGTTTTCAACAATACTTTGATTTGGTGTTCTAGCATGTGCCCAGCGTCTTTATTTACGTTTCTTATTTTTTTTTTTTTTTTTGTTAGAATCAACGACTAGACTAATAGTCTAAGATCCGAAGTAAGGTCGACCTTCACCCATCTGTTTAATGGATGAAAGTTTCTTTTTATTAAATAAAATATTTTTATAAATGTAGCGCAAAAGGTTTGCCTAAGAAAATACGGTCCAGACTATTTATTTTCTTAAAATAAAAAAAACGACACCCTGTAAGATATTCCCCAAATGCTCCGATAATGCCTTAACTTTAATCAGCTTATCGCAGGATAGATTGAAGCTTAAGTTTAAAATTTGGTGTTTTTCTCTTTATCCGTTTTTGGGTTGTCTTACGTCCTTACGCCCATCATCGTATCTTCAACCCTTTAAATTGTTATAAATTTTTTAAAATCCAAAATTGGCGAAAATTCTAATTTTCTTGAATTAAATAATATAGCTTAAAATTTAAAATGCTGTAATTTTAAATTTTTTACCGAATATTCAAACTATAATAAACAAAATAACCTAAATAAATTTTCAAAATTTTGTTTGTTGTTATGTTTTTTTTACGTTATAACAATATGCTTCCTACGCGCCACGATGCCACGAAAAAGATTTTTCACTAGTATTTTCATTAAACAACAAATTAAATCGCACAGTCACGTTATCGTTTCGATGAAGAGTTGCATTTTTTAATTTTAAATATGTAACAGGTTTCGGACACTTCACTAACGCCTCGCCATGATCACAAAATAAACACTTTTTGTCGTCAGATAATATAATTTTTTTTGAAATTAAAGAGAACGACATTATTATTCAGAAAATTACACGACTGCAAAGTAAACCAGTAGATGTAGAATCGAGCAAGACTGATTAACAACTGAAAAATAATTTTCAAAACGAGCCAACCATTCTAAGGTAGGGTTGAATTTTCTATTTGGAAGGTTGTAAAAATTGTTTATGACAGGAAAAAAATAGAAGAATAGTTAAACGTACAATTTTTTCAAAATACGAAATAAGTCCCTTTACCTATTTGTATTCATAGTCCAAAAGATTGAAAATCATAAAAAAAATTCATATTTAGAAAAAAAAATGTTTTCCTTCTTTTTGTTAAATGGAGAAAGGCTTGGATATTTTTGAAATCATAAAATTTTATAACCCCAGTAAGCCTACTATGTTCATTGTAACAGGTAGAAATTTTTAACGGATCACGACAAGTGCATTTGGTCTTTTTATCGTATTGAAAAAAAAAAGGTTGAAGAAGATTTTACTTCTCAGGCAGTATCTGACAATAATTTTTCATGAATCAAAATAAATTTTAAAAATAAATGTTTCTGTTAACTTTAATAAATAAAAAAGTTATCAAAAGTATCTAAAAAAGTAAAAAATAATCACATGATACAAAACTATTAATCGGAAAATATAACAAAGTGTCATGAAAAATGTTAATAATAATTTTTTTAAACTTATTACCTCTGAAAAACAGCAAAAAATTGATTCAGCGCGTCATCGGGCTTTCTCTTACCCATCTTATACATTGAGTTGGAAGTACACGCGCGTAGGAAGCATATTGTTATAACGTAAAAAAAACATAACAACAAACAAAATTTTGAAAATTTATTTAGGTTATTTTGTTTATTATAGTTTGAATATTCGGTAAAAAATTTAAAATTATAGCATTTTAAATTTTTAGGTATATTATTTAATTCAAGAAAATTAGAATTTTCGTCAATTTTGGATTTTAAAAAATTCATAACAATTAAAGGGTTGAAGATACGATAATGGAGTTAGGGACTTTTTTTATTCGAAATATCCTAAAGAATATAAAAAAAATTAATTCATTGCAAAAATGCATTTTTTTGCCTTAATTAATTTTTCGTTGTTTAAACAATAACATCAACAAATATCGAGTGTCATCTTACACTTTTATAATTAGGCAAGCCTTCCGGACATTTAAAAAAACAATTACGAATTAAAACAATTTTGCAAACGAATGCGCCACTATGCCCTGCACTATTAATAGATACCTGTAATTAGGCTAAGCGTAAAAAGGATTTTAAAATACATTAGAAAAGTATATTTGCATTCTTAATCCAGTTATTATCAGTTTAATATATTTTTCTCATTACTTCCATTATAGTGTGTAATTTTAATTTTAAAGAACAATTTTAAACATGGTAATCTGACACCTATTTAAGAAAACAAGTAAAAGTAAATGAGATGTTGCGTGTTCAAATGAGAATTGAATTTTGAAGTGCCAGGTGGCGGCAAACCACGCTCGATGGCATCTTCGCATCACATGGATTTCTAACCAATTGTCTGTATGGACACGTTCTTTTGTGACGAAAAATGACGTAACGTCTTCAAATTGTTTTTATAAGTGCCAGAGGTAGCTAAGGTTTTGTGTTTTAATTCTAATATATATTGTTCTGTGTTTTAATTCAAATTTATGTTGTTTTGTTTTAATTTAAATATATGTTATTCTGTTTTAATTTAAATATATGTTGAATGTTTATTCAACATCCTCCCCCCACAACAGTAAGCTTGGAGGTTAGATTAGCTAAATTGTGATTGAACTCAAAGTATTCTGTGCATATACTAAAAACAAAAAATTAGTTATACGATACACAAGAGAGAAAAAAGTGTGAATCAGTCTATTCTTGCTAGCGGAAACGTCTCAGATCAGTTTCCTAGCCCTGTTTATATGACCTGATGTACATTTGCTTACTTTTTGTGAAAAATGATACATGTAAATTGATTTTTTTTAAACATAAGGCGAGCATAAATAAATTATGTAGATATGTGTTAGGAATGTTTGAAATACAAAAGGTTGTAATGTGGGTATAGTGACCCGAGAGTGTCTTATAAGAAGATCAACTTATATAAATATGAATTAATTCTAATGAGGGTATAGTGACCCGAGAGTGTTTTATGAGATCACCCTGTATAAAATACGAAATAATTATAATAAGGGTATAGTGACTCGATAGTGTCTTTTGAGAAAATCACCCTCTATAAAAGTATATGAAAGGTTGAAAATTAAGTAAAGTATTGGATATCATTTTATGAGGAACACGAAAATGCGAAAGTGAGCACCGACACACGATATTTAAATTAGAGAGGATGTTTTACTATAAAGATTCATCATTTATAAAGTAAAATGGATATAGTGATCCTAAAAAAGTTTGAGAGATTTTTGTATTACCCTATATAAATAATGCGAAAATATATTAGCATCAATGGGGCTATATAGAGAAGTGCAAAGTACGTAGTGAATGAACGAGTTTATAAAGGGTGAATCTTATAGTGGTACCCGATGTTTTTTTTTCAAATAACTTGACAACCAGGTGACAGATTGTCATGTTTTAGAAACGTCAGTACAATTTTCACAATGAACCACCTTACACCACAACAACGTGCTGAAATGGTAAAAATTTATTTTCAAAAAAAATCCTCTGTTACGCTAACTCAACGCGCGTTCAGAGCGAGGTATCGTGGCCAGAATGCGCCTACCCCGAAGACTATTCGTGCTTTGGTTGCAAAATTTAATGCGACAGGATCTTTGGCAACCTCTGTCCGTTGAAATAAGTCGCGTACCAGACGAAGTATGGAAGCAATAGCAGCCGTAAGTGCCGACGTCGCGGAGCGTCAACAAGTTTCGGTCCGACACCGTGCTCAGCAGATTGGCATGTCCCCCATGTCCATGTGGCGGTTGTTAAGGGTGGTTTTGCGCGCCTTTCCTTACAAAATGCAGACCACTCAACAATTATTGCCAACTGATAGGCCGCGTCGCATCCAATACGGTCGCAATATGCAGGACATTCTTGCCGGTGAACCTGATTTTTGGAGTTGTTTGATCATGACCGATGAAGTACATTTCACGCTGTGTGTCGTTGTTAATACGCAAAATACCCGCTTTTGGGGCATTGAAAATCCTCAAATAATCTTCGAAGAGCCGTTACATTCCCCCAAAGTCACTGTTTGGTGCGGTGTTTGTGCTGAAAGGGTCATCGGCCCGTACTTTTTCGAAGACGATAACGGCGCCACGGTAATAGTCAATGGCGAGCGATATCGGGCTATGTTATGCGATTTTGTGAGGTAGACGAACATGACATGGGCGACTATTGGTTCCAGCAAGATGGCGCAACATGTCATACAACAATGGATTTATTGCGTGCTATGTTTCCTAATCGATTGATATCAAAATACGGCGATTTCAACTGGCCGGCTCATTCACCAGATTTGACCGCACCTGACTTTTTCCTGTAGGGATACCTGAAGGGAAAGGTTTATGCCAATAAACCAGCCACTCTCCAACAACTTAAGGCCAACATACGCCGAGAAATCGCTGCCATTCAACCCGAAACACTCCAAAAAGTAATGGAAAATGCCGAAAAACGGGCCGATTTGTGTGTGGCGTCCGGAGGTGGCCACTTGGCCGATGTCATCTTTAAAAAGTGACCAAATAAATTGTAATGAATCTAATTTCAATATACAAAAAACATTTATCACAAAAAATTTACTGTGTTAAATTATTTAAAAAAAATTCGGACACCACTATAAGATACACCCAATATATTAATAAGTAGATACATGAGAAAATTAAATAAAAACATATTTGTATAAGTGCATAAGAAACAAGCGAATAAATGAGCATGTGCGCCAGCAATAAGTATTCATGTGAGAAATGAGCAAATTATTAAATATGTAAATGTGTTAGTTCCAAAATGAAGAGTG